CGTGAGAATATTTTATTATGTTTTATTTTTATTATATTACTTCCCTTCTACGTGACTTTACCGAAAGAACCAAGAAGATGAAACGTGACATTACCCAATAGGTAACGGGAGTAGAATAGAACTGTGCCTGGGGCCGATGAAAACTAAAAAGGGCCAACGAAAAACATGTCGACCTTGCCTTGTATAAAGGTGTCAGTTTTGTACCAGTTTAAAAGGATAAAAACCTACTACTACATTTTGCCACTGGTAGAAGAGATCTCATAGTGTAAATGCTCACCCCGAGCTCTCAATACTCTGATATTGCACTGTGTTTGAGTTGTACGCCTTCTGGTGTCATCTGGTCCAACACCAATGGGGACTAGGCTCTAAAGAAAGCCGTCTCGGGTGTGGACCAATCAACTTTAAGGACAGTGCATATCCTTATCAGAGTCGTTTCTTTGTTTGTTTTTTTTTGACTACTTGTGTTGTGGTTATTGCAAACATGATGCCTTGAATAAAGGTGTCAGTTTTGTACCAGTTTAAAAGGGTAAAAACCTACTACTATACGTTGACCGTGTGTTTTTTTAGCAGTTTAATGCATAGTAGCAGTAGGCTTTCACGACCAATATTACCCATGATAATATCCGTTTTTTGTTGGGTTAAATCACGTAAAGTCACGTAGAAGGGAAGTAATAAAATAATAAAAATAAAACACTAAAATAATTCTCACGACGTTTCGGCCACAACGCAAGCAGCCGTCCTCAGGTGAAAACCAGGTCCGTCGAGGCGACAGAGTCTGACTTTACCGAAAGAACCAAGAAGATGAATCCCTGCAGTCACGAAAGTTTTAAATCACGTAAATTTAAATGTGTCCTTGAACCCGCCACCACAGCCCGACACGGCCAATTAGTAAAGATTTGTCACGTAGACAAAACGTGGCAATTAGTTACTAGTTCAGCACTAACTGGTGTGTTGGACAGCCCACGTACACGACAATACATACACACAGGGATACAAAGATAAAGATCCCCCGTATAGCCTTAACTGACTGTAGGGGCAAGTGCTGTGAGTGAGCACCTATGAAGGCCGGAACGGTACACGAGGGGGTGGGTGGCCAGCACCACGCCCGACCGCCTTTGTCTTCCCAGTGGCGATGTTTACACATCGCACCAGGTACTCATTTCAGGCTGAGTCGACCTAGGGGAGGCCCAGGACCGGTTCAGATAATCGTCACTGGTGTTGGCCGTGAGCGGGAATCGAACCCGGGTCGCCAGGTTCGCAGCGCAGCGTAGCGCTAACCGCTACACTACCGCTCCCCAGAAGGATACACACACAGGGACACACACACACAGGATTATACACCAATACCAGTACCCGCCATTCGCCACTAAGTGACGGTGACGTTGCCATGGCGTCTGTGCCAGGCTAGGTGCACTTTGAGGCCACGTGAAGTGTCGAAGGCTCGCTGCTGACAGGAGGTCTCGGGACAGACCCAGCAGGTGCCATGGGTTGGCTGACTGAGATGACTGGTAGATGCACCAGCTGTGCCCCCTACTGTGCCAACTTGCTGAATTTTAACGGCCCGGCGCTCCGCTCGTTGTTGTGAGCGTCGCTCCTCTGCCCTCAGTTGTTGCTGGAGGGTGACTGCCTCCAGCTACCAAGTAGCGTTCTTCACGAGCCTCCTCTATAGAGGCCGATCTTGACACCGCTGGTACCAGTCGTCGGCAAGTCCACTCAGCTCCACATCCTCCTGTACCACATCACTCCATCTCTTCTCTAGCCCGTGTCGTGCTAGGTTTAGCCCACTCTATGCGGCCGAACAAAAGCTGTTTAGGCATGCGGTGGCTGGGCATGCGGGCTACATGACCCAGCCAACGCAGCCTTGCCTGCCGGAGGAGCTCACTGATGGTAATGTGTCCAGATCTTTCAAGGTTTGTGAGCTACTCACACAATCCAGCCTGGTTAAACCCAGGATGGATCGTAGGCTGGCCAGCTTGAATGTTTCGAACCGGAGAAGATGTTCCATTAGAGGGGTCCACATTTCACAAGCATAGGGAAGAGAGGGCATACGCAAACTGCCAACGGGGAGCGGAGGGAGCGGAGTGTGTGGTGACACAAATAGCCAGGCAGGTGCTTTGTTTTGGTGGGGTTGATGTTAAGGCCCCACCTCTTAGTGGCAAGCTCCATGTTCAGCAGCAGCGCCTCCAACTCCTCCTATGAGTGAGCAGCAATTACCAGATCATCGGCATACATAACATGGTTGAGAAATAGGGAGCCATCCCTTGACCGCACTCGGGCATCGATCAGCCTCCCATTGTATCTGTACCAGATGGAAATTCCTCCGGTACAGCCGTCGAAGGCTTCACAACTACGCGGTCGATATAGATGTTAAAAAATGTGGGAGCCAGAGGACATCCCTGTCGCACCCCAAGGTGAACAGGGAATGACTAAGACTCCCGGCCACGTAGTTTTACCATCATAAAATTAATTCAAAGTAATTCATGATGTGTGAGCAGAGGGATACCCACACACACACAGACACAGGATACACACACAGACACACACACACAGACACGCACACACACAGGGATAGACACACACACATATGGATCTACTGTATCGATGCGGCCTACCCAAGCGCACTACTCCCTCTCCCCCTTCTTCACAGTCAATATGATACAGTGTGTTTAATTTGCCTATGTCCTCTTAACAAGAGCGTGCATGCTCTGTTTACCTCTGTGGTGTCTCTCTCTCCGTGTGCTGTGGAGAAGTGCCATCACACGAACTGTCGATTTGTGTTCTCAATTTGTTAAGGCCGTACAGTGTTATGGACGGGATGTGTTGGGTCGTGAGATGTTGACAACCTCTCCTGGTATACAGGCGGTCGTGGGTTCGATCCCGACCCCTGACGACGCCTGCTGCTGTATATTTGGAGTTTGCGGTGTCTCTCTCTCATCATCATCATCATCACGGTTGTGAGATGTTAACTACCTCGCCTGGTATACAGAAGGTCGTGGGTTCGATCCCGACCCTGACGATGCCTGCTGCTGTATATTTGGAGTTTGCGGTGTCTCTCTCTCTCATCATCATCATCACAATGACGAGATGTTAACTACCTCATCTGGTATACAGGAGGTGTCGTGGGTTCGATCCCGACCCTGACGACGCCTGCTGCTGTATATTTGGAGTTTGCGTGTCTCTCTCTCATCACGGTGGCTAGGAGATGTTAACTACCTCGCCTGATATACAGGAGGTCGTGGGTTCAATTCTCACCCTGACGATGCCTGCTGCTGTACATTTGGAGTTTGTGGTGTCTCTCTCTCACCATCATCATCACAATGACGAGATGTGAACTACCTCGCCTGGTATACAGGAGGTCGTGGGTTCGATCCCGACCCTGACGATGCCTGCTGCTGTATATTTGTAGTTTGCGGTGTCTCTCTATTATCATCATCATCACGGTGGCTAGGAGATATCAACTAGCTCGCCTGGTGTGCAGGAGGTCGTGTGTTCGATCCCGACCCCTGACGATGCCTGCTGCTGTACATTTGGAGTTTGCGTGTCTCTCTCTCCCCGTGTTCGAGTGGATTTGTCTCCGGGTCCCACTTTCCCCACTGCGCACCTTTAGAATCGACATCGCACCTTTATAGCACAACAGCTACTCTTCATTTGGCTACTGCTACACGTGTCCACGCGACGTACGTATGTGTAACGGTTCCGGAGACACTTGTAGAGGTAACTTCTTTATTACAATCCAACACTCCAACAGTCCTGATACTCTGTTACAGCCTAGGTACACAGCCTAGGTACACAGCCTAGATACTCTACTCTGGCTACGCTCTGGAACTCGCCCTCACAAGGTCGTAGAGTCGGGAGTTCCAGAGTCCCACCACTGGCCCTCACAACATCCCAGGGTCTTCAGATGGCTGGTCTTGGGTCTTGGGTCTTGAGCTACGACTGGCCCTGATCGTCCAGGGAGCTCCCCTTTTATATGCCTCGTCCCCAACGAGGGGTGGTGCCGTGTGCGCCCCCAGATATCCCACAGAGCACACACAGCCCCCCCCGTTGGTGGCGCCCAGAGGCTTAAGCGTCTGACCCGCCTGGGAACCCAGCGCCTGGCGCCAAGGGGCCCAAGCGCCTGTCCGCCCAGGGTCCCAGAGCCCCCAGCAGCCCCTCCCTTCTTATGTCACTACATATGCATGCACAGCGCGCGCGGACGTGTGCCGAAGTCCAATTCGCACCGTACGGTGCTGATCAGGAGGTACCGGGGAACACACCGCCGGACATAACGGCGGGCATCGATTTCCCATCCGAACGGATTTTGTTGTCTGTAGCGTAACCCGACTCGCGTGCCATCCACTGGGTCGGTAGGGGTAGTTGGGTGGGTGGGTGGGGAGTTAGTTTTTGGTGGTCAGTGAAGGCCTGCGCGTGTGTGTGTGTGAGTGCATCATTGTGTGCGTGCATCATT